GTCGCCTGACCAATGCTTCGTGCCCTGGAGAAAAGGTCAGGCCCTGTGCTCAGGATTCTAGGGTAGCCGGGGTTCACCAAACGTGCGCCTTGACTTGTCGGAGACTCTCTGCTTTATCCACAGATCTTAAAGAGCCCAATGAGCTTCTTTGACACAACTCCCACTGGCAGGATAATGAACCGTTTCTCCAAAGACATGGACGAGCTGGATGTGAGGCTGCCGTTTCACGCGGAGAACTTTCTGCAGCAGTTTTTTATGGTGATATTTATTCTCGTGGTATTGGCTGCTGTGTTTCCTGCTGTCTTGCTCATCGTGGCCGGCTTTGCTGTGGGCTTCCTCATTCTTTTACGGTAGGTCTATGCACTATTTAAAAAGGAGCAAACAACATGTGCTTGCTCTCACACACACACACACACACACACACACACACAGGGTTCACTATGCACGATGACCGGGTACATGTCAGGTGATATCGAGCACTTGCTGTCTTCTCTGATGGAGAAGCACATTGATTTTTAGCACTTACTAAACGCCAGGTGCTGTGCTAAGTGCTTTGCATACATCTGGCATTCTAGCCTCTGAGCAACCCTGAGACGTGGAAATTATTGGGGGTTAAGGCGCTGGTTGCAGGCCAGGAAACTAGTAAGCAGGATTGCTGTCTGTCTGCTGATATCTTCTTAACCAGGGGCTGCGTCATTCCTCCTGCTGGAGAAGAGAGAGGAGACCTATCCTCAGTCACTCTGTGCTTTGAGAAATCGACGTGGTTAGAGAAAGGCCCCAGGCAGCTTTGCGCAGGGGATTCTTGCCGTGGCTGTGCACACCCACCCTGGCAGAAGCAGGAGGGTGGCGATGATCCCAGCCTCCCAGCAGACCCGGCCCCTGCATCCCTAGGGTGAGCTGGGCTCCCAGCAGAGAGCATGGTGGATCTTGAGTGAGGGCAAAGCATTGCAAATCGGAAAACTTTGCGTTACAGCTCCTGCTCTGCCACAAAACTCGCTGGGGGATCTTGGGGACGTCAGAGGAATGCTGCACCCCTCAGTGTCCGCTCCCCAAAGTGATGAACACTGAAGTACACGCCTCACCTGTTTCAGAGAGCACGTCACGAGGCTCAAATGAGACTACACGCTTACAGATTAAAAATGGACTAAAGCGCTATGCAAGAGTATCCATAAAAATCAGTAACAAAAAACAATCATTTATTATGCTCCCAGATGTGCCCAGTCCTGGACTGGACATTGAGGATCTTAAAGAAAGTCCCCCAAATTATAAAAGCTTCCGCCCACAAGCCCGGAACCTGCCTCCGCCTGTGAATAGGGCTGTTTGTTTTTGCCCAGGGACACCACATTGAGATCTGGGCTTCGGAAATATTGCCTTGGCCACAGTGTGGAGGAGGGTGGAGCCCCCAAAGATCAGGGCCGGCTACGAGGTACAGTCTGTGTGAGGTGACGAGGACCAAACAAACATAAGCAGGAACAGAAAAGAATGGCCTCGAGAGCCGCCTCCAAGTCCAGGGCAGTGTGGTCAGGGTTTCGTGATTGGCGGAGTTTGGGTGCTGGGAGATGCGGAAGGCCAAGGTGGTGCCGAGGCGGAAGGAGAAGCAGTTGGGTAACGAAAACCGCGGGTTCCGTTGTGGATGTTTCAAGTCTGTTCATCGAGTGCGCAGACGGCGCCGGCTACCATGGCAGACGTGGGTGGGGGATGCGGCTGGAGAGCCGTACCTGGCCCCTCTGGGAGCTGGCGTGGCCGTGGGAGGTAGCACCAGTGCCCGCGGAGTCAGGAGGGCAAGACTCTCGCTGTAGTCTCCCGCTGGCCCCGTGGTGTCTCCGAGAAGGGACACGTGGCCTCCGTCTCCAAACTCAAGGGCTTATTGAGATGACCAAATAAAAACCATTTCTGAAAGTCCTTTACAAAGATACGAGCATGTCCTGGATGTCAGTTCTCAAAACGGGTTCCCTGGGCTTGTGTTCAGTTTTGTAATCACTCTGTTTGACACTGCTCCTGTCCGTTCTCTTGTTTGTGCTGTTGGTTTACTTAGCAAAAGCTCTTGCTCACTGCGCTCCCCAATTCCTGCTCCCAAGACAAGACAGACCAGAGCTGGTACTGGCCAAGTTATCCAAAGGTTTCCAACCAACTTGAGCTCTGAACTCATGAGGTTTCCCTCCTTGTTCCCCGGAGTTAGTTTGAGCTGAGAGGCAGGAGGCCTAATCGTTTTCTCTCTCACGGGCCAGCTGGCTAGTGTGCCCCGGAGGTCCCGGAGTTCCCATGTGAAGGGGAGCAGCACCCTGTGGGGGGTTCGGTCTTAAGTCAGCTCCTGCGGCTATTACATCGTGATGTTCGTTCAAAATGACCTTGACGGCTGGGCACGGTGGCTCACACCTGTAATCCTAGCTCTCTGGGAGGCCGAGGCAGGCGGATTGTGTGAGCTCAGGAGTTTGAAACCAGCCTGAGCAAGAGCGAGACCCCGTCTCTACTACAAAAAAAATAGAAATTATCTGGACAACTAAAAATATATAGAAAAAATTAACCGGGCATGGTGGCGCATGCCTGTAGTCCCAGCTACTCGGGAGGCTGAGGCAGGAGGATCGCTT